ATGCACAAACCAGAAATATAACTCACCTGTTTCACTTTCAAAAAATGCTTGCAAAGCACGTGGACAATTTTCTTGAGAAATGACTTCAGGGCCTCAAACATATACAAAATTCTTTTAACTGCAGTCAGGGCCGGCGCGAGTAGGTGTCACGTGGGGGGGAGGGTTGCAAATACAATTTTTGCCAACTAAAAAAAAGAAAAAGGTCCTCGTTTTTGCCATGACGACATTTGCCGACTGTCTAACCTATATCGAAAGGGTTGACATTTGCCGTCTAAAAGGGTCCAATTTGCCGACTAAGGGTCCAGTTTGCCGACTAAAAATCATTGATGGGGGGTGTCACACGACTCCCTATCGCGCCGGCCTTGACTGCGGTTAAAAGAGACAGAAATTTAGTATTTCCATGCTGGATTACTTTTCTATATTCCACATCTACAAAATCACAAAACTCCTTTAACTCAGTTAATCGAACTGTTTAGACATGTTCTTGTTGTGAAAATACTTACATATTTTCACAACAAGAGCTTCAAGTTAAACTCCAGCTACACATACACTAATAAAGTAAGCGGTTAGCGTATTCAAGATGATTTCAAAATAAGACTTTGAATTCCTGATAAAACGCAGACCTAGAAAGTAAATTTTAGTATTTGTATTAGTATCAAAATAATATGATTTTTGTTGTCTGCTTTTTTTCAAAATTCAAAATCATGAATTTTGTCCCAAAAATTTTGAATTTGGCTTCACACTCATTGCTCTCTTTTTTAAACTAGAAAATATTTTTTTTAGACAAAATTATTACGAGTGCAGCAAAACTTTAAATTAAAGGAACTATCTTCAACCAAAATACTTTATTACAATTACGTAATTTATCGGTCACGACTTTCGTTTTCGTAAGTTTAGGTGCGCGCGTTTTTTAATATTGTGTAATCAAGAGAACAGAGCACGTGCTGCGTGATTTTATTTTTATTTTTTTTATTTTATTTATTTAGCAACTTAATGCCAATTTAGTAACTAATACAAAATGAATAATCCCCTTTACAAAATAAATGTTCACTATATAAGTTGGTTATTCTTTAGTGTTTGAAGCAGTTTTTTTTTTTTTTTTCGTAGTCCAGCTGAACAAATCCACTAGCTATTTCATGGTATAGTTTCAAACCAAACACAAACAATGACTTCTGTCCTGCTCTATTGCATTGGCTGCTTTTATGAAAATAACTAGCTTGTCTAGTGTAATGTTGATGTAACTCGCTATTTTTTGAATAGAACGGTTTAAATATATCATTTACAGTCGATGTAACATGAATGAAAGAGAGTGATTTAAAAATTATTCTGTTTTTTACACTGATCCAACCAAGCAAATTCAACATTTCTGTTTTATGAGTTAACCAGTGACATTTTAATATAATTCTCATTGGTTTGTTTTGAAGTTTTTCTAGGATAATTTAGTTATTTGTGTTGACATCAAGAAAAATAGAAGCACAGTATTCATAGTGGGGAGCAATTATAGTTTGAAAGATTATCTTTTTGGTCCAATGAGTTAAGTATTTGCTTATTCTACCAAGATATCCAGTTTTTTCCAGTTTGCAATTTTATTAGAGATATATTTGATATGTTCAGTAAAATTAAGTTGGTAATCAATAATAATCCCTAGATATTTCAGGATATATTTCAATAATAATCCCTAGATATCACTAAATTCAATGACCACATCATCCAATATCACTTTTATGTTATTGTTATGATTAAACTATTTTTTCTTTTTTTGAATTAACAATAAGCATTGCCATGGACTTAAGAGTATTTTATTTAAGTTTATTATTACTTAACCATTTACAAAGTATATTTAAGTCTTGATTTAATTTAAAAATAGTTTTTTCGAAGTTTATGCCCTCAATACAAACCAATGTATCATCAGCAAACAAATTTACAAAAGAATACTCAATTTTTGATGCAATATCGTTCATGTAAATGATAAACAAAAGGGGTCCAAGTACACTACCCTGTGGAACCCCTATATCACAAACTAGTTTGCCAGATTCTTTACCTTTTATTTTGACTACTTGAGTTCTCATCGAAAGTTAGTCTGCAATCCAATTGAGAACTGTACCTTTAACTTTATAACCTTATCATTTTTGTATAAGAATCTTTCTATTAACTATTTCAAATGCCCTTTTAAGATCTAGCATTACTGTTACAACAAATTTATTGTTGTTCAAAGATGTTCTCCATTTAGAAAGTAGTAGTTGAATAGCTGATTCAGTTGATCTTTTTTTTCTGAAACCGAATTGATTATTATTTGTGAGCATTTTCAATAAATTGTTAGTGACTAAAAACATTTTACGTTTAATAGTTTTTACATTTTTAGTTCTATACATTTAAGTATTAAAATTTAAGTATTAAATATCGAATTTTATAAAAACTAAATAAAAACCTCCTAAAAGAGGAGATTTCATGTTTTTTTCTGAAATCCCCTGGAGCCTTATTTTTTGCCTTAAAATCTGGAGATCTCCGGGCAAATCCGGAGATCTCCAGAAAACCCTAATCTGTCTCTCATTTGAAAATTATTCACCTGAAGTATCTTTTGGGTGATTTAAATGGTGGGCCAAAGTCGCCCTGTGAGTTAGACTTTAGCCCAACCCAGGAGAAAGTGACAAAAAAAGATTTAGTCACAGTTTAGATATAAACTTTTACAAAATTTAGTTATGAAGTTAATTTAACAACTTACGGTTTTGTCTAAATTTTTTCTCATTTGCTCATCCTACAGATAAATTGTAATTAATATAATTCCATAAGAATGTCTAATTCAGATAATCATATTTTTTCAGTAAAAAGATATAATAGCTACCATCATACTTTTTTAGATAGGCGCATTTAAGTTAATCTTTAAATTTGATCTGGTTATTTTGTTTTTGAAACTGTTTTGAAGCTTTTTTTTTAAGTTATAAAACTGTTTTTAAGGCTTGAACCCTATTCATACTTCAATTGACAAAACCTGAAATTTTGCACACATAGATGCCAAAAAACAAAGTCATAAGGCTCAAGGTATTGGACATATTTCTATTTAAAATGCTTCTTCAAGAGCATTGTTAAAGGAATTGACTTAATTTAGATCTCTATTTGGTCTTGCATTCTCATCTCATTTTCTTTGCTGTTGGTGTAGTTATCAATGATTTTGTTGTTGGTGTTGATATTTATTTTATATAATTTTATAAACTCTTCGACAAAAACAACGTAAAAGTAAAATGAAATATAAAATGACAGTAGTTCAAAACTGTGTCGCATCTTGAAAGTATGAATAGAATTAAAACATTATGATGTAAATGTTCTAAATTACAATAACATGTTTTGCTTCTCTGCTGTGCTTCCATGATTTGGTTTTTAACTTCTAGACTTATTTTGAATACGTCAAAATCTAAGAACTGAAACATTTTAACAATTATACTGATTTAATAATATAACATAAACATATATATATATATATATATATATATATATATATATATATATATATATATATATATATATATATATATATATATATATATATATATATATATATATATATATATATATATATATATATATATATATAATAAAGTTATACAATTTGCCATTAGCTTCATATTCTGTATATGGCTTGTCTTCTGGTATGATTCTCTAATCGATGGTAAGCGCTTGTAGGATTAAGAGTACTTAAAAAGTGGTACTTTGACAGTTCATAAATTCAAGTTACTCACCTTCAAAGTGAGTAACTTGGTTTAATAATTTTATCATATTGTAATTTCTTAATTTTGGGCTTATCTATATTATTGAATCTTTGGGATTTAGTTTCGATTGGATGACATTCTTTAAAAAGAATTACAATCAATGCTGTAGGTGATACTTGCTATTTCTTTAGTCTACAAACTGACAAAGGAGGTAATATTCCTCCAAAACATATTTTTATATTGCTATGCTGTTTCATAAAGGCTTGATCAAGAATAACATCAGCACACAACTTAGGTAATGTTGACAAGGTGGTATCTGTAACTTCTGATTTTGAAAAATCATATTTACTTTACAATAGTCTTAATTTTTGACCTGAATGATGACGATGCCATTGATGTTCCTAAAATTTTTTTGTATATGGGATTGTTTTGTATGTGGGATTTTATACTTATTGACAATGTATTTGTTGATAAATTTATCTGAGTTTTCAGTATCTATTAATACAGAAAAAAATTTTCCACCTTTTGAATTGCATATGAGAGGTAATAGGGGTCCCAGCACAAATATATTGTCAAACTCATTAACAGCTAATGATCTATTTGATTTACATTCTTTAGCAAAATGTTCTTTTAATAAAGTTTATGACAAAACACTCTAGAGCAGGACAAGTACTTAACAAAATTAAACAAAAACATAGAACAAAAAAAGATAATAAATGTGCTGTGTAAAAATTTTCAAGTATTCAACTTATTTTTTCAAGGTTTAATTACTTTTTAAACAATTTGTCACTCTCCTATTTGTTATCACAATGCAATTGGAATAATTTTCTTATACCATGTTAATTTAATTCACAAAGAACTAGAAAAATAAATAAACTTTTATGATAATATATAGAAGTTCAATTAATCGTTTTTATAAAATGACAATATAATGTATAACAGTTCAGTTCAACAAAAGTTAAACGGAAATCTAAAAAAAAATATCATCGAAACATAACAATTTTAATTACTTAAAAAAATCTAGACAAGCAGCCCACATAGCCTGCCAAGTCTATTTTAAACAAGCTATTCACAGTTTATGCACTCATTCACTCCTGTAAAAGCCTGACTTATTTTTATTATAATTATTATTACTATTGTTTTTAGTTTTATTATGATAATTTTTTTATTGTTATTATTATTATTTTAAATGAGTAAAAAGTAAAATAAATAGCATCTTGTTGTTGTTTCATAAAGTATTGTAAGATTATATAGTGAAATAATTTGATTTTATTTCTTTAAATAATAATCTTGTAGGAAAAGGAGAATGTCGTTGGAGTGAAACAACAGGAACAGGGGATAATCGTCATACCAATCATTATCGTGGGTCTGAAAATTTATTTGAATTTCAATTATGGGTTCATGGAAACTCTGCAAAGTTTACAAATGAAGCTGGAAGATTTTTTTTTCCTTTCGATTTTATTCTTCCTCCAGTTTTACCAAGTTCATTTGAGGGGTTTCATGGACACATTCGATATCAAATCTTTG